TTCCTCAACCGCCAGCCTATGGACTGCCGTCTCGGGCGCAACACTGGACATCTCCATGGAATTCCACGCGAAGAGCTCGCTGAACTCCCGCAATAGGTCAACCAACCGTTCTCTCATTTCCATGGGCGCTTATGATGACACCCAAACTTGTCTCTGGGCGCCCTTCTTCCAAAACAATCAGAAGATCTTCATCTGCGGCCTCGGCCCGAGGCTCCTCCTCCGGCGTAATGTCCACCACGTTAACTATCCCATCCCTTCGTAGACGCTTATCTCCCGTCTCGCGGCCATAGCCTGGGGCGCTTCGCCCTCGGGCCACCCCCACTCCTTGAGGGGCAATGAACTTTAGGGTCTGATGGCATGTGGATGTCACTCCGTTGAAGAGGTCCAGGAGGGGCCTCCCAAGTATTGCGTTGTACGGGGAGGGGCAGTCCACTATTCCGAAGTCTATGGCGTGAGTGACCCTCTGCTCCTCTCCCAGAGTTACAGGCAAGCACACTCGGCCGATCATATTCGCGGATGCCCCTGAAAATCCAATTAACAGCCTGTTTGGATACAATTCAAGAAGAAATGGAAATGGAATTCTATTTCCAATTCCTATTTTTATAGAATTCCATTTGCAATTTTAGTGTTTGGTATAATTCCTTCAACTAAAGAAATGAATTGCACTTTTAACAATAATTAATAATAGAATATATTTATTTTATCTTGGAAAATGAAATATGAATGATAGAGAAAGAGAGTAGGGTGATGGTTGGTTAATAAAATAATAATAAATAGTTATGGGACCCACTAATTCCATCTTCATAAACACAATTCCTATCAATTTTGATAGGAATTGTAATTTCCAAAACTTAGCCCAAATGGAATTGATTTCTCAACCTTCTTATCCTTCCAAACATAAAATATGGAACTGGAATTGAAAATGGAATTCCAATTCCTGAGTTTTTTGTCTATCCAAGGGTTGGATCAAATCTGGCGACAACTGCATTTGTGCCACCGTTTCTTTAAACAACACGTCCATCGAGCTCTCTGTGTCAACGAGCATCTGTTTCACCTTGCAACCCGCCACCACTCCTTGTATCTCCAGCGCACCCATGGATGAAAGCCTACATGCTTCCTCAGGAGTCTGGTTGAAACGGATGTTGATTGCCTCCTGGGCGCCCACTGAAGCTACCCTTGAACGGCGGTTTGCCTCTAATTTTTCCGGCAAGTCGATCGACCCTGTGATGGACTCCACCGTGAGTCGCATCCGCTCGGGCGCCTTGTCCTGGTCAAGGTCGTATGATGGTGGGGGCCGCTCTTCCGTCTTCAATTCTGCCCTGGCTACACAAGCGTGGTTTGTTTTTTCTTTGGCTTTTCTTAGGAAAACGTTGAGCATTCCTCTGCCCACCAAGCCCTGCAGCTCCGCCTTCAGTTGATAGCAATAGGCGTAATGGTGCCCTCTCTCCCGGTCGCAGTACTGGTCCATATTCCGCTCATTGGGTTTCCCCTCATTAGTCCTGGCCACCGAACGTGATATCCCTTCTCCTTGACGTACTGGAGCACGTTCTTCAGCGTATCGTTAAATTCTGTGAAGGACCCATCCCTCGCGGCTGGGGGCACCCTATGTCCACCCTTCTTCCAGGCGCATAACCTGCGAGAGTATGCACCGGCCCCGAGAGAGGCATCTGTCTCCGTGAATTATCCCCCTCGTCTCCTCTAGTTTGGTGCCTATCCGCTCTCCTTTCTGCCAAGGTTTCTTCCAACACAATTACCTTTTGCACCCTACGGTCCAAATCTTCCGTGGATACACATCTCTTTTTGCCAACGCCCTACTAAGTTCCTCACTTGAGGTGCACTCGTTCAGGCAACATCCCAACACCGAGGGCTGGGCGTCCTTACCGCCAGGGCTAGCTAGAGCCACCTCTCATAAAATTCCCTCAAGACTTCAGCTCCTTTTTTTAATCTTGAAAAGGGCGCCTATGGTTAGGGAGCGACGTTTCCTGCTAACAGATTTTGCCAAGAACATCGCGTGCATTTCTCAAAGCACTCTATGTGCCCCTCCTCAATTTGGTGGTACCAATCCAGCACCACACCCGCCAAGGTCAACGGGAATACCTTGCACAAGGTGGCATCAGAGCTGTTGTAGAGTTGCATCCTTGCGAAGTAGCCGTTCAAATGGTCGTCCGGATCCGCCATCTCATCGTAGACAGGGAGTGGGGGTATGTTGGTTCTGACCGGCTCCATTAATACGTTCCTTGCCAAGGGCTGTCTTAATGGGTAGTTTCGGGGCAGGCACCTCCTCGAAGTCCGAGTTCATATGATCATTCGGGCGCCACACGGATGCGAGGCGCCTTTCTTGTCCGGATTCCTCTTCCGTCTCTGCGTCTCTTTCCCATTTCCTTGAAGTCGGACTACACACCATTCCCTCTCCTTTCTTTAGCGCCTCAACCTCCCGCTTGAGAATATCAATCGCCTCGTCCTGGTCTTCGATAATCCTAAACAGATCTCTCTTTATGATTGAGGCGCCCTCGGAACTTGGAAACCTCGACTCGTTTCCAGCCTCCTCCACGGCTTCGGGCGTCCTCTCTCTTGATCCCGCGGAGGGGTTCCTCGTGATATGTTCCTCCTCACCACTCGTCGGCGCCTCCATATTTGCAACTCTCGGTCGTCCTTACCCTATCTGGCGCCTCAATTGTTTGAGCCCAGATGCTTTGGAGCCCAATTCCACACCAGCTCTATCCCTGTGCAACAAGTTCTAGGCACCTGACCTGCCCACATGCACTAGAAGAAGGGCGCCTGGGCCCATTATTCCTCCGACAATCAAGTCAGTTTGGATCTTAGAGAGAGAAGTACCAAGCTCTAGTGTTTATTCGGAGAATCCAACCTGCGTAAATTCTTCCACCCAACTCCACGTTAGAATTGCCTTTAATGCTCCGTACTTCTGTCAAGCTGGGCGCCTCGACCAACGTGTCAGGCTTCTGACAAATGCAAGGCGCCCAGACCGTACTCTCTTGGAGTCTTCTGCACCTTGTTTCCTTCATCATAACTAGGCTTGGCCCCGCGGGCCAACCCATGGGCTGGGCCCATTGAGTAACCCTCTTCCTCTTTATTGGGCCGCCTTGGGCCTATCTTTCCCCAAAAGTATGAATATACTAACTGTCATTTACCACATTTCATCACTGTATACCACCAGTTACCAACATATACCATATGAGTCAAAATCGTGATTCTATGTAGAAGCATTTTGGTGTTCTAGAAGTGTAAAAATGTTTAAGTTTAAAAGCGTAGATTTTTACTACAATTGTAAGTAAAAAAGCGTGATTCTACGTAGAAGCGTTTTGGTGATCTAAAAGTGTAAAAGTGCGAGTTTTACTACATTGATCACGACGAACTCATTTCTTCTGGACAAAAAATTTCAATTTTGAGTAAAGACGAAAGTGGTACCAAGTCAAGTCTTATGGTTCCAGGACGGTAAATAGTGATTTGGGTGATATGAATTTTTTTTTAATATATAAAAAAACGGATATAATTTTGTAGATCACAATGAATCTCTCCATTTCTGCAAAAAATTTAAATCCAAACTAAAACAAAGAAAATAAAAGCCGACTAAAATAGCAAAGAAATATAATTCATTAATTCTCCCCCATTAGTTCTGACCCCACTTAAGACTAAGGGTCCAGATAACTAATCCTTGACACACTTGAAAAGTGCATCGTACGTCTATGGTCACACTCAAACGGTAAAACGATCGATATGCTCCATTTAGTCGATTCAAATTTCAAAGGTTAAAAATGAACACATCAACCCATGTGTGTATGGGTGGTATTCGGTTTATCAGTTAACGGTATAACCAGTTACCTCACCGGTAACCGATGATTACCGATTATATCGTTAACCGGTTACAGCAGTTGCGGACTGTAATCAGCAGGCATAATGCCTATTACAACTAACCGTTAATCGCTTGCAGCAACCATTGAGTTAACCGATACTAATAGGCTAATCGAGATTGAAGTCTAATCGAGGTTTCGATAGTCAAAACTCGCACATCCTGCAAGAAGGCCGAATCATATTTTGCCAAGAAAAGCAAGATTATGACGAGCTGATGACAAAACAACCGGCGAAAAATTTCCCCGACACATGTAGTCCTAGCCTCGCCTCTAGAGGGACAATGTTGGAGCTGACGAGATTTCGCGCCTCCAAAGAAGTCTGTGAAGACTGTAACCGGTAACTGGTTTTCTAATCGATAACTGGTATAATCAATTAACTAGTTAACCGGTTGCCACCAGATACCTTTAGTTGATAATTGCTTGATGCTTATCGACTTAGCGATAACGGACCAAATAACACCCCTACATGTGCGATACCTTGTACTCGCTGAGAGACAGTCGAGTCCAAACTAAGAGACATATTTATTCAGCTTCACATGAAACCTATCACATGATTGATCGATGATAATGATGAATCGTTCCCCGAAGGTTTGATGGGAGACTTTATTTCGGGTTTTGGGAGGGAACAAGAGAGGTGGCGTTGTTGTTGGTGGTTGGTTCATGTTTAAAGTGTGCTCTCTTCTATTACCCTAACCCCCCAATCCAACACTGTTAAAAAGGACACTCGTCTCAGTCAGTTGGCACGTTACCACATGACCTAACCCACTAATGATGCATGGATTAGGAAGATGATCCAGAACTGAATCTGCTCTAATTTGGGCCTTCACAGGGTATGAAGCTGAAACGATGAGATTGATAAAGTAACTATCTTAACCCAAACACGAGTTGATAACAGACCTTTTTTTTATGAACGATTGATACTAGACAAATTAGTTACTTTATCAATCTCAAACCAATCAAGACAAACCAGATACTAGACAACTCCAACAGAGAGACCAGAGATCAACCGATAACTCAGGCAGTATTTATAATTGAACTGAAATCTAGAACGCTACCATTTGAATAAGAAGTTCGCTCCACAACAATGGGACCTTAAACACCTAACCTTAAAACAACCTCTCATCTTAGTTTCCATTCCATATCCCTTTATCTATTCCCAGAAAACCTAAACAAAGAATTAGGTCTTCTGCCATATTTTAGGAATGAACTTCCTATAAGAAACATCAGAAAGAAGGCAAACGACTACTATTTTTCTTCACCCAGATTCATCAATTTAAGCCTATCAAACGCATGTGCTATCAACCGGAATCATTGACAAAAAAATGCAGAAATGAACAGCATAGGAAAGCATCAGGACTCCACATTCTTCATCCATTGATAAAAGGCTACAGATACACAATTGTTGTAAACTTAAGGCCTGGCTAAACAATAAGTTACAAGAGAACATAGATAAAAGAGGAGAAAGAAGGCATCCTTGTGTCCACAACCTCTAAGTCCCTTCTCACACAAGAAAGAGCCACTCGTTTACAAATCTAAACAGGGGGGAAAGCAAGTCATCTAATCTAAAAGCTAAAGTTGCAATCTTGAAGGTGACAAAACAGACTAGGTTATGTGCTACGACGAGGCCAAGTCTCAAATAATTCCCAAAACTGCTAGTCCTGCAATCGAAGGAGCTCAAATTGTCATTTTTACACTAATACCACTTCATGATCATATCATATCATAACTTAACTACCAACACTCAACTTCAAACCATAACACCGATCCTCAAAACAAAGCTTCTAGCTTTACCACAAACCCTGAACTCGAACAAGTTCGAAGCACAGATATTACTAAGCTTGAACAGCCCAACAAAAGCCCTTACATGATGATAACCTGCTACAACTACTACATTCATTAGTTCCGCATCTGGAGTGCTGCTACTTAATATTAGTGAATGTGCTTAAGAATCCACAAAAAGATTAAAAATGTTACTAGAAAAGACAATCAAAAGCCCTAAAATTACAACAAGATGATTTTACAGAAATTACTGGGGAGGGGAGAGAAGAGAGCTCAGGGGAATTAGAGGAGATTCTCAAATCATCATTCATAATATATATATATATATAGAGAGAGAGAGAGAGAGAGTCATTAGCGTTTGAGGGTGGGTGAATCAATAATCTTTCTCACCATTAGGAGGTCCAGCAGAGCGCTTGCCCTTCTTGATCTTCTCCAGCTGAATCTGAGTCTCAGTAAAAACCCTCATCCTTTCCATCTCCACATCTTTAGCGAACTTCATCCTTTGCTTCTCCAAATCCACCATCTGCCTCAACTTCTCCCTCTCGACTCTCTCGTAGACCTCTCCAAACTTCTCAATAGCTCTGGCCAGCCTCCGAATCTCTTCGTCCTTGTCGCTGTTGTTGTTGTTCTCCCTGTCCTGATGATGCTGATGCTGTGGCTCATCCTCCTCCTCTTCACTCTCCGATTCGACAGCCGCCGCAGCGGCAGCCATCAAGTTCCTCCTCAAATAGATGTCCTCGGCAGCGGGCCTCTTCTGGCCGAGCGCCGCCACGGGTGGGTTCGAGGAAGGGGTCCGGCGGTACGAGGACGTGAGCGGCAGGGCCACCGGCGGGGAAGGGGAGAGAGACGGGGATGGGTGGCGATGCGGCTGCTGTTTCTTGGTGGCGGTGGCGGGGAAATTAGATCCGATCAGGCCGTCCAATCGGTCGAAGAAGGGCCAGGAGGAGGTGAGAACGCCGTTGGAGGCGGTGATCCTGGTCTTCTCGACCTTGTACTTCTTCTTGATGGTGTCGATCCGGTTCTTGCACTGGACATCGGTGCGGTGGGTCTTCTTGGTGAGGCCATGGATGGCGTTGACGGCTGCGGCGACCTCTTTCCAGTCGGCCTGGCGGAGGTTTCCCCGGTTGAGCTCGACGTAGCGGTTGCCCCAGGCCTCGACGAGCGTGGCGGTGGCCTCTTCGCTCCAGCAGTCCTCCCTGATGGGGAGAGGGCGGGAGTTAGGGTTGCTGGAGGGAGTGCCGGAATCCGTTAGGTCGCCCATGGAGGATGGATTGCGGTGGAAGGGGAATCAATCGATCGGCGGCGGGCGGCGGTGGTGGAAAACCTAGGTTAAAGATTGGAAAAGAGGGGAAGGGGGATTGAACGGAGAGAAAAGAGAGAGAGAGAAGAGGGGTAAAAGAGGGGAAGGTGTCGGTGCGGCGAGGGTGACGCGCCGGACGCATGAGGGCGAAAGATTAGGAGTGTCGAAATAAAAGAGAGAGAGGGGTCGCCGGGCGGGCGGGGGGAAGTGGGGAAAAGGCGCGTGAGGGGAACGGGGGCCAGCTCGGAGTGGCGTCATCGGGGATCCACGGCTCGGCTTAGGGGATTTGGGATGGGGATGCCGCCTGCCTAATCGGTCCAGCTGCCATACCTTCTTTTCTTCCGTCCTGTTTTTTTTTTTTTACTTCGGTTGTTCGATCCAATCGTCGAACCCCTCTGTCCTTGCCTTCCACGGCAATGTCCGTTTCCCTTTTCTTTCTTTTTTCCACCATTTTTCAGTTACATGCCCCTTTCGTTTCCTGGTGTTTACAAATAAATTTTGAATTTATTATTTTTTCTGATAAAAATTAAAACTATAATTATTTTAATTGAGGGCTTTCGGAAAAATAAATAAATAAATAAATACGTTGGTTATGAAACAAAAGTTGTCCAGAGGTAATGGTAATGGCAATGGCCCGGGTTTGGGGTTTGTCTAAACCATCTCCATTCTCGCTTTAAAATATCAAAACTGATACTCGCCTCATACCTATGCGGGAAAGGTTTTGCAACTCATTCTCATATCCGTGTGTTTTAGTACACATGGGTAATACCCGCCCCCGTACATTCTATATTATAATACCTAAAGTTTACATGTAAATTTTCAATTGTAACTGCAAATGCACCTACTGTATCATGAAGTCGACAAAGAGAGAATCATTCTTAATACGGTTGAAAACATATTATCCTAAAACATCGACTAATCCATAAGATAGAGTACAATATAATCCAAATTATTATTCTCTAACTGTGATACAGCTACTAAGTACTAAGTAATAACTAACTAACATAATCTTGTTAACACGAGGGAATAAGTGAAAGAATGAAGGGAGAGTTGATGAAAAGGAATTAGGTTTTGATCTGGGTGGCCGTTCAATTGCAATTTTGATATTTATTTTCTTGAGTTGCCCTCATTATCATTGATAGATTTCAATTTGATTCATGTATTTTTATATATGTGAAGAAATACTCTTGGTGTGGTGGGTATGGGGTAGAGGAGGCTAAAACCATACATGCCCATACCCATAAAACATTTTGCGAATTTTACAAATACTTGCCCCATACTCAGTCAATACGGATATTTTCCGTGTTGATCCGGTCGGGGGCAATCGAATACCCACGGAGCATGGATTTGATTGTCATCCTTAACGACTTCTTTGAACGTGGGAAAATGAGTAAAGCCCAATCCATGCAATTGCGGATGAGAAGAGTATATGATCCAATAGTTGAGGGAATTTTGAGTTGAAATCATGAATAAAAAATTTTCACAAGGAAAACCTAAATTTGACTTTTGATTGTCGAATATAAGTAGCTAGTAAATACTTATTTTAATACACGTATATGTACTCGTACGTACTTTATACGTTTAAAACTTATGTATTTGTATTATTGTCAAACGGTTTCATTTGTTTCCGTTCAATTGACGGCTCCCGTACTAAACATGTATAAAACTCGTATAACACGTTTAATACACATATTTAATAAATTAAATTATTAATTTTATATATTTATTTTTAAAAATAATTAATTTTATATATCTATGAATATTAACATACTATTAAACGTAATATTAATTTAGAGACGAAGTAAAATACACATACATAATTATACGTGACTTTCCCGTACCGTATTTTACTAACTAGGAATATGACTCACACGGTGAAGAATACTACTCCAAAAAGAAGAGAATAAGTAACGAGATATTTTTGCAATGATATTTTGAAGAAATCATTGAAGTAGTGTCTTTTCATTCTCGTTGAGAAACACGAGAAGAATAATGTTATGAAATATAATGCATATTATATGTTGGGATGGCAATTTGAACATGTCTCGTCGGGTTTACCTGATCTGACTCGCGATAGGGCGGGTATTATCTGACCTGCAATAGTGTGGAGCAAGACATGACTATCTATTTCCGTTTCGTCCTGCCCCGTCCCGTTCTTGGCCCATTATGACTCAATTTCTTAAAGTATATATTTATATTTCTCTTATTTTGACTTTTCTTCAATTAGTTAAACTTGATCTTTCATGTTAGACTCAATTACTCATTCTATTATCACTATTTTTCATTAACAAAGTGTTTCCCCCTTCATTTTATAAAAAAAAAAGTAGAATTTTGCATATATTTTTTCAAATAACATGTAAGAGTGGGTCGCCCCCGACCCGCCCCATTTCCATCACTATGTGGTTGAGCAGTATTGTGCTTTGGGGTCCAAGGAGAAAGCCAGCCTGCCCGGCCCAACAAGAAAACTCAACAGTTAGGTGGTTCAAGATTAGTTGGAGTGTAATGCGGTTCACCCTTGGACATGACAGGAGATAAGCCGCATGACATAAAGGACTAATGGGGACAAGAGGGAGAGATTTGCTAAGATATTTGGCTCGATACAAGTAGGGTGAGCATTCATTACACGTCGTAGGCGGTCTACCACTAGATAAGACATGTTTAGTGCGCATGACATCGCATATAATGCTCTAAACTCCACCTAGTTGGGTATAAATATCCTCACACGAGCATTGATGGTAACTCAACTACTCCCCTTCTCACTAAACTAAACACATATTTCTATTTCTCTCTCGAACTTACGCATTTGAGAGTGTACTGGGCAACCGTCATGAACCTTTGTTTGCAGGGTTCATGAGTATCGTCCCACCATCAAAAATAGTCTCCTCGCTCGTGCTCCATCAACCGCCTAGAACATTCTAAGCTTAAACACTATCTACGTGTAAAATTTGGAGACTAAATCGATGGACATGAGTATCCAAGTTATCATTTGCATCTCAAACACATCAAATCCATATGAGTTATTATTCCAACGAATAAACAATCAATGTAGACTCATCAGCACCCTAAACGAAAAGGTTATAATGAATCAAATTAATTGACAGGTCAATAAGTCTTGCAGCCCATTCCACAACCTAGGTACAACTACAACTAAGAACTAAACCAACCACTTAATGACGCGTTAAAGTCCTGTATCCAAATAACTGAGTTATCTGGAAATCAACATATCCTACAATCGAGTTATCTAGAAATCCACATATCCTACAATACTAAGGGGTTGTTTGGATTGTAATATGGTATTTGTGAAGTAAAATAAATCATTATTTGTTAATGTGGTATTTTCAGTGTTCCATCTGTGGTATTTAACATATATAGTTTGGCTAATCATTCACATGTGGTATTTAAAATGTGGTATTTGGCAAGAACATAATGTAAAATGAATATTCTAAATAATACAATGTATGAGTTTTTTCAAATAACTTGCTATGCTATGAATTACGGGGTTGTTTGGATGATTTATTTTTGTTCAAATAACTTATTATGAGTTATTTGGGCCAAAATAACAAATTTGACATTATATTTTTGGAATGAGTTACTTGAGCTCGAGTTATTCCCAAATAAGTCGTTTATGGCCCTACCACTTGTTGAGGGTATAGGGTTACCCAAAAGGTCTGAGTGAGTGCCTAAACCCAACCCGAAATACCAGTTTTGATTATTTTGGTTAGTTGTTTAGTACTTATGAACTTTTCGCTATACGCGGGAATTATTATGAATCAATAAACAAAAAATCCAATCTCTACACCTAGTTCTTCTTCCTCTCCTCGAGCTCACCATTGACGAGCTGTTCTTCTCCAAATCCCCACAATCTTCTTCAACTCTCCTTCCTCTCTCCCCACGCCTACAACAAATTAGCATCAGAGCCTCGTCGAACTCTTCATAGTTCTCGATGGAGGATGCATTCCAAAAGTTCTTACAGTTCGTAGAAGGCTTGCGCGATAGTGACGCGGAGGTGGACGAGGAGGTTCGCGATGACACCATCTCTTGCCATGATCTCAACCGCGAACCCTCACCCCATACAATGTGGTTTCAGGCGATGGTCGAAAGTCGCACAACTCTCACGCTGGTAGACAGCAGCTCATTCCTGAACTTCGTCAGTGAGGAGTTCGCGACAACCTTGGAGCGCCAATCAACAGAGATTCAGGAATTCTCCGTTCAGGTTTCAAACGGCCAGGAGATCCCCTATACGCGGAGGTTGGAGGAGTGTAGCTGAACCTTCAAGGTTTGGTAATCATTATGGACCTCTTTGTTTTACCGATTCGAGGCCTTAACGTGCTCTTGGGAATAACGTGGCTACGAAGTTTGGGAGTTGCACGGGCTGTTGGCGGTCGTCGATCCGATCGAGAGGAAGGAATTGGCGCGGGACGGCGAAGTAGTACTAGCACTCTTGTGTGTACCAGCAGGTAACGCGCCGGGTGCTGCAAACTTACCAGCGGATCTGCAAGAGATTCTGGACTCCTATTCGAGCCTCTTTGAGAAGCCGAAGAAGTTGCCACCGTAACGTGACATCGATCACCAAATCCATGTGAGGCCCTTCCGCTATGCCCATTTCCAGAAAGCAGAAGTAGAGAAGCAGGTCGGGGAGATGCTGGATACAGGGTTAAAGACAGTCGTCGGTGTTACTAGTGAAAAAGAAAGACATTGTTCTGTACAGACTATCGTGCCCTAAATGACATGACAGTTAAAGACCTATTTCCTATACCGACGGTGGATGATATGTTGGATGAGCTACATGGTTCACAGTTCTTCACGAAACTGGACTTGCGAGCAAGCTATCATCAGATTAGGATGAACGAAGCGGACGTGCACAAGACAGCATCCAGGCCACACAATGGGCATTATGACTATCTGGTAATGCCTTTCGGATTATGCAATGCGCCGTCCACATTCCAGGCAGCGATGAATGATATTTTTAGACGGTCCTTCGCAAGCATGTCCTAGTCTTCTTCGACGATATCTTAATCTATAGTAAGACATGGGAGCAACATCTGGAACACCTGAAGGGTGTGTTCGGAGTCTTACAGAGTGAGGGGTACTTCGTAAAGGCTTTCAAATGCGCTTTTGGGGTGAATTAAGTGGAATATCTGGGCCACGTCATATCTCATGAAGGTGTCAAGGTTGACCCGACCAAGATTTAGGCGATGCTCGACTGGCCAACACCGTCTAATGTCACTGAGTTGCGAGGTTTCCAGGGTTTGATCGGTTACTACCGGAAGTTCGTACACCACTACAGCACCATCGCGAGACCCATGACAAATTAACTAAAGAAGTGCGCGTTTGAGTGGGTTGCCCAATCGGAAGGGGCTTTTCGCAAACTGCATCGGCCATGACGTCAACACCAACTCTCGCTATGCCTGACTTCTCCATTCCCTTCCATATTGAGGCTGATACGTCCGGAAGAGGGATAGGCGTCGTTCTATCTCAGAATGAACATCCTATTGCTTATATGAGCTATACTTTATCACCATCAAAAGAAGCACAGTCTACATACCAGAAGGAGACGCATGTGATCATCACTATCGTGCAGATGTGACGACCAAATTTGTTAGGCCAGAAATTCCATATCTTTACCGACCATCGGAGTCTGAAGCATCTTCTGGAGCAGCGAATATCGACCCCCACTCAACATAGATGGATCTCAAAGTTGCTCGGCTACGAGCCTACGAGTACGAGATACACTATAAATCTGGGAGGGACAATCCTGAAT